GACTTCAAGACAGATCCGACACTTTGGCTCTTTGTATGGTCACACCAATCCAGTCAATATGAAAACGTAATCGGTTGTGACCAGTTAAGATACCCAGAGCGTAACGTGATATCTGTTATGTTTAAAAGAATAATATCCATCTTAACACAAAGGCAGTCCAAGAGTCTTGGCTGTCTAAGACCCCATCATTACACAGTTGAGAATCTTTTGCGCGCCAACTCGTCGGTGAGCTCGTAGCTTACGATCCCACAGTTGTCTAGTACACAGCATAGTGTTGAACGTATTTATTGCTGCCAAAAATTAAAGCTTTGATTTGATCATTCTCATTGGAGTGGTCCCGAATAGCCGCTTGTCTTCCGGAAAAGATAACCAACCCCTTTTCAGCATTTTATTGGAACACCGTTGACCATCTTCTCATTGGTATTGCAAGTTTAGTGTCAGGTCCATATATAACAGCTGCCACTTTGTCTTCAGTCACTTCTTGAACTGCCTGTGTACAAATGTAACCAGCTGGGTCCGGTCTTCGCGATTTGGGATTTTCGCTAAGAAATGTTTATCAAGGCAGACCGGCTTGGTCATGGTCAGAAAGCCCACATAGGCATTTCTTACTCTTTTATCTCTCTTCGTTCGTGGCTGTTGTTGCTTGGACAAAAATATAAAGAAGAGTTCATCCTAGAAGCGAAGTCAGTTTTCATTGATCCAGTGACGGTGAGGCATGGCAAACCTATGACCACAGATGCAAGGCCAAGGTCCTATATGTCTCTTTGAACCAATGTGCACTCGATGGAACCATATGCAGTATTATCGAAAATATGCTCGATATCCATTCAGGCCAAAAGTTTAATGTTCTTAGTCTTGAAAGCGCTCTTGTTACTGATACTGTCCAACCGAATTGCGTTTGAACCTAATGTGTAGATCTAAGTGTCTTAATTGAGTTTCGAGAATGAAAGAAGTTTGGCTTATGTACATATATGTATTTCTGTACGATTTAAGTATTTAAATCAAACAGCTTTTTGCCCGATTTAGGAATAAATAACATAGATCCATTTCTCCAAGTGTATTCTCAGCAGTAGCTAACCATAAATAGACATATATCAGAAGATCAATGTTATCCTCAATATTTCTTTAAGGAAGTGCTGCAAAAAATCCACTAAAAAAAAATTTACCACAAAATACGTTAATACCACAATTAACCCCGATTTCGGTGCTCCAAATTCTAAACAATTTAAAGTGTCGATTTTTGCACTCATTTAGAGCATAAAGTGTAACAAGCCACTTTAGAGTTAATTTCACTTTTGACCTCATTCCACTAGCTTTAAAATTGTGCATTTTCATAAACGTTGATTACTAATAATTCAAACAACTTTGTTCTATTTATTTATTTTTTGCTGTACTAAAGTAACATTTAAAAAATGGTTAACCCATTTTTACTCTGTACGTTTGTATCTACAGCAGAGCTGTTGAAAAAAACATTGCAGTATTTTGGTAAACAAAACCTAAATGAGCACAGGTGAAACGAGCCATTCTCGTTTGAAGAATAATTTAAAACAACAATAATTCAAGTCAACAATATTTAAACTGTTTACAGCTGTTTTTGCTAGCTGAGTCTGCAGAATGGAGTGGAATGAGCGCAACACAAACTTATCTAGCTTTGGGTGAACGACTTAAGTTGCCTACACGCAGTTCATTAATGGCTCTAAAGTTTTTTTTGTTGATTTACTTATACATACATATATATATGCACTAGGAAAAGTTTTCGTGCAGAGATTTTTGTTTTACGTTTTTCATAAGTTTCATTTCATTTCATTTTTTATAAAAAATATAGTCCTTTTTATAACACTGTGGAACACAAAAAAAAAGCATAGAGCTGGTTTCTCCAACTCAACTTAACTCAGTTTAGCCATTTTTTGGACTTAAGTCAAAAGTTAGCTTGATCTAAACTTTGGAAAAATTTGCCAAATTGTCAGCAAAATTTAAAATTTGTTCGTCAAATTTTTTAGAAATTTCGGTTATTTAATTTTATAGCCCATTCAATTCAGTATAATAAAGTGTAAGTTTTGAGAACATCCAAAATCTAGTCGATTTTTGATAATTTTTTCTTACTGCGTTGTGCATTTTTTTTCATATAAAACAATTTTCAAAGAAACTTCAATCCAGCACATTAGTAGACTAAAACTGAATTGGAAATAAAAACTTTTCTGAGAGTTTCACAAATTTAAAAAAATTGTTGTTTAGAATAAATTGAAAATTTTTGTTCTATAAAAAACTATGAATAATGTAAAAAAATCTCTGAATCGAAACTTTTTCCAGTGGGTGTATATTTTGTTTTGTTTTTTTTTTTACCGTTTATTAGCACTTTAATGATGTTGCTTACCAAAGAGAACTTGAGCACACGTGCTAGCAAACTGTTTGAATTGAATTGGCATAAATAGCGCAGCAACTGTACGAAAATTTTAGGCTTAATATTCTTTTGGCGTATAAATGTGATTATTCACAGTCTTTAATCTTGAAGAGAGTTTAGATCGATACTGTGTTATAGCAGTCAAGTCTTATATTCAACGTATTACACATTTAGCTTTGTCATTGTGATATTGTCTTTACTTTATTATTTGTCTGCTTTTTTAGTGAATTATTCTCGCTCGTGTAGCTCATTTATGTACAGAGTTGATTGCTCTGAATTTCATAATTTTTTATAGCTGCCACTTCAATAGAAAAATGTATTTATCTATGTACTTTGTCAAGTCGACTGTGCCACTGAATATATACAAGTTAAGTAGTTCCAAAAATACATATATGAGATATTTTAGTCATAGTCATGTCCATCTGTCCCCCTTTTTGAAACAAAACATTTTCAAAACTAAGATTATAGTTGGCATGTACCGAGTTTTAAATTAAATAAAGCAATCGGTACTGAGTTTTTTTTTTAGTATATTTTAACTAAAAATAAAGCACTGTCATTGACGATTGCTATCTTGCAAATCTGGATCTCTCTTTGAAAGTTCCCGAAAGTGCACGTTGGTTTCTGTTTGCATTTATCTGAGGGGATATCGCTGTACCACCGCTACAGTTTCATCCATACAAGTTCCCGCCTTGGCTAATTCGTTTGCTTTCTCGTCACCTTCTATGTTCCTATGGCCGGGAACCCAGACAAGAGAGTATTTTCTTTGGCTAGCTTAGATTTGGTTTCAGTAGATGCCTGGCTATTCGAGTAAATATCCGCTCTTTCTTTCCTGGTAGTACTATTTCTTAAAGGCAGTGTCATACGATTGGACATTTGTCCGAAATTTGGTACAAATCGAATCGTTGCTATCGGCCTAAGTCTTAAGATTGAGCTATGCCCAAAGGTTTAGAGGCCGTTTGTGGTTTTTCCTACCAGGCTTGGGAATGAGCACTACTTTGACTCGACTCCAACTTATGTTAAATTATTTATTAATACATTAATAAAAGTTTCGAAGCTTACACAAAATTCACAAAAATTAATCACATTAAAAAAAAAAAAAAAAAAAAAATTTAAATTTTTTATTCAGAATTTTCGAGTATACAGTTTTGTAGCACATTAAATTTTAAGCCACCGTTATGATTCACAACTTTCAAGATAGTTGAATTCAAGTTTTAAGTCGTTAGAAATTACAGTAAATTTTTGAAAATGCTAGCAATATCATTTTGAATTTCGCACCGATTATTGTCCATCAGTGTAAATAAATCAATATTACGTTGACGATTAAAAGATTCAATATCTTTACCTACTGCTCTGCTGGTAAATAGACGAAGAGAGCCCACTCTTAAAAATGCGCTTCTTCATTTCTTGTTAATCCTTGAATAAAATGATTTCGATATTTTGCGGTTATTTGCGCATCGTTGAGTTTTATTTTTTTTTTTTTTGTGGCGACCCTAAGCCTTTCCACTTAATTTTGATGAGAAATCAGTTTCTTATTTGGGAACATAAATTTTATTATTCATGCCGGCATTATGTTACCTCATCCAAATGCTTACTTCCTTGTTTGTAAACATACAAATGAGTATTAATGAAGCGAGTTTTCATTAGATTCTTCTTAAACAATTAAAAAGTAATGTAATTTGCATTATCTAAAAATAATAATAAAAAAAAAATAAACAACTGCAAATTCAAGTTTGCAGTGATTCATTTGAAATACCCGATAACACTTTCATAGCCCTTAGATGGCAAGCAAATTACTTGAAAGTGCTGAAAAGCCAACTAACCGGTGGGTACTCCAGGAGGTCATTCATTCAATAAAAATGACATGACAGAATTTTATTGTCACGACTTACATACATACTTTGGGATGTACATGAATGCATACACCTACATGCATATACGAGTGCAAACATGGATATTAGGGCGGTAAAAAAAAAAAAAATTTTGAATGTTAACCTCTCATCTGGGATTTCTAAATGAAAAAAAAAGAATTACCGTATTTTTTGTTTAAAAAATAAAATGGTATTTTATATGAGACATTTTCGTAGAAATGGTAGAGAATTCTTGCAAATCAATATTTTTCGATCGGAAGAATTTTTTAGGGCTTTGGGGAACCTATGTACATATTGTTATTCTCCTAAAGATAAACTGAGTTTTCCGATCGAAAATATTGACTTTCAAGAATTCTAGACCATTTCTACGAAAATGGTGGTTTTTCTCAGATAAAATAAATGGAAAACTTCATGGGCTTTTAGGCAGTTCTAGATATCTTTTTTTACAAAAAATACACTTATAGTTTGTTTTCATTTAGAAAAATCCTAGGGATGAGAGCTTACCATTTTGAACTTTCCCCCCTCCCCACATGTATTTTTGGACCGCCTTATATCAAAAATAAAACAAACTCCTCACAAAGCAGTAAGCCACTACACCTGACTCTCACAGCTAATGCGCTCTAACCTGAGCAACAACAGTCGCACAGGCCGGCGAATGCAGGGAAACCATCCACCGCTGGTCGGTTAATGCACTGCAAATCTCTGGAAAAAAAACGCTCACAAAAATGCATTCGCAGTCTACAGTGAGTCGTTGCAGCAGTGCAGTTGCTGTGGCCGCGTGTTTATAATCTCATCGACGCCGACAAATGCAAAATTGAGCAAATATGTTGTGCAAAATTAAAAAAGAAAAAATAACAAAAAATATATAGTTGTGCTTACGTGCTTGAGCATATTATTAAAAGGGAATATTAAAAAATAAGCTTGTAATAAACATTTTAATTATAGATACGTTTTGTAAGTCAAAAAATGAAAAAAAGTCTTAAGTATGTTGCCGATTAAGTGCTTAGCCGGTGACCGGTTTCACCGGCTTCTTTAGTATACATATTCATAAAAAAACGTACATGCAAACATATTACATTTATGCATATGTAATTTGCCGTTTTTTTAAATTTTTTTTTTTACTATTCTGTGTGCATGCGCGCATCGCGTGCTTTCTCGCGGATTATTCGGTATATCATCGTTTGGGTGCGAAACATGACGCTATTACGGGGTGTGCTCTTTTTTCTTATCGTAAAACCATATTTTCTAATAAATCAACGACGAAAAGCTGAAATTTCGCTACTATAGTTGTGGGAAAAGAAAAATTAAAAAAATAAGAACTGAAAATTTAATACAACTGCTTTTTGGCATTTTGTTTTGATGTTTTTGTTCATTAAATTATGATGAGCATATTCAGCATTTAAGCTCTCTTCATAAAAAATAAGTTATTAAAATGTCAAGAAAATTTCTTTAATCCAGTTTAGACGGCTCTCTGAACATAAATTTCGCTTTCAGCTAAATTTGAAGTTATCCTGCGTAAAGCTGATTGTGGCGAATTGTCATTCTCTAAATGAGCGCGTTTGAGGCCGAGGGCGACCGATGTCGATGGGTGCGGTGCACAGATATCTATTAAAGTTTGAGCTTGGAGATGCATGCGAAAAGCTGTTGGGTGTTATGAGAACCTTGCGGAATGCGGGACAGATGCTTGCCATTTCAGCCGAAAGAGGTAGCTCTTGAGTCTGTGGAAACGCCTGGGACCCGGCGGGACTAGGGGCACCTGGTCTCTCTATTGCGATTCGAAAGGCGACATGGACTTATACAACCCAATAGTGCCAAATATTCTAAACCGAATGATTTTATTTTCGAATCGCAATACAGAGTAGACCCCTAGCTTCCTCAGTGCGGTCTTTTAGGTTTGCCACTGCGCACCATTTGTTCCTTCCGTCCACACCGACGCTGCGTAGTTTCCCTGCAGTAAAATTTACGAAACTGTTTGGCAAAGCGCTAGTTCCGATCTACATATTTCAGAACTATCTCTGAACTGGTGCAAAACGGCTTGCGAGCGGGACAGTTGAACTTGCGGTGTAAGTGTATAAATTCTCACTTCTCGTCCAAATTGAAAGTAGCTCAGCGAGAAGATCTCCGACTCAAGCATTGTTGGTCGCGAGTTCAAATCGCGGTGAAGGCAGTTGTGAGTTTTCACCATAGACCTGCGGATCGCTGTGTACGTTGCAAGTGTCGGATGTACATATGTATGTGCTGAGAAGGAGAAAAGGCTATCGAACGTGACTTCCAAAATCGTCAGTTGTGGCGATGGATTTCGCGGCAGAAATGTTGAGGCTTCTGGCAGTGTAGTTATTAGAAATATCGGAAAGATATGTCTGTTATTTTACCGCAAATGCTGCGTATGCCTGGGACAGTCGCCATGGATGTACAATCGTCTGCTCATTGGGTTGACTAAAACTTCTGACGGAGGAGGTTAGGCCCCCCCCCGTCGCCCCCCTCTTGTGGCTTGGACTTATCGTTTCGAAATTCAACTGCCAATTGACATCCACACATATAGCTGATGTCTTAACAAAGGCTCGTATGGTTTAAGATGGGAAATAATCCTAGGCATTTTCAACTTCTGAGAAGTTCAAGGTGAACTGTGGCACGTTAAAAGCCGCTTTTTGTTAGCATCTGCATGAACGTTGTGGTCGAGTTTAACGCTTCTTGGCGTTTTGGACAGCGTTGTGTTATGCATGTTGTGGGTGTGCGACGAATTCTTGACTGAAAATCGCCCCCGCATCCGTGGGAGGGCCAGACGATGAGCAACATTATCCTTACGCTTCTGCGCTTTGTTGTTGACCCAGGTAATCACCTAGGTGTTTGCTACTAGCGATGCTATATGTACATATGAAACAGCAAACATTTTCAAATTTTTGTGTTGTTTTGCATGTATTTTATAGTATAGCATCGCTCCTAACACTCTGTCTTCAACCTTACTCTCTGCGGTACATACAGTGGTATAATAGGAACGCGTCAGTTTAGCCTATTTTTCTTTTGTTTATTTAGTGCTTATTATTTTTTTCATAAAAGTGTTGCTTATTAGCTAACAAAAACCAATAAATTCATATTTCAAACTCTATGCAAAACTTAAAAAAATGCTGCGAGATTGCATCTAAATTTTAAAGTTTTTAATGAGATTTTGCGGAATTTCAAATTCCAGTAAAATAAAGTGCAAGTTCGAAGCGGCTTAAATAACTATTCAAATTTTCTTATTCCAATCTTTGAAAAAAGTTGAAAAACAGCATCAAAAATCTCATTATTACGATTCCGTTAAAAATTTTTTTAAAATTTTTTTAAATATTTTTATGTAAATTTTTTTAAGCTTAAACCGTTTTTTCATTTGAGGGGATTTAAAAAAAAAAAAATCTTTAAGAAACTATTTTTATTCATAAAAACTCCATTTCGCTTAAATCTTGATATTTTTCCAAAATATTTTGGTGGACGTCTTAAAATAGAATAGATTTTATAATTCCAATTGGAAAACAGTACCGATTTTATTTGTATGTGATGCAGTCTAATGTATCTATATATGTTACGTATTCGTAGATGCAACACCGAAACAGCGCTCCAGTTGTTTAAGAGAAAAAAAAACAATCTAAAGGGATTTTGTTTCAACTCTTCTTAATGCCACTGCTTTATATACATATGTAAATAAGAAATTTTTGTGTTGCAATTGTAAAATTCATAACCGCAAATACAATGTTACACGAGTCATTTGTTATTGTTCATTTTTTTTAACTAAATGCAACACAATCAATCAGCTGCTTGGAGCATGACTTGAGCGTGGTGGCATTGTTTTGCAAACGAAAAATCATAGCAATTATTAATATTTAATGAAAAAAAAGCGTTGAAAAACAACACCAAACCGAAAAACAGTGCTCGGCTCTCACCCATCTGCTTGCATACATATGTACATGCATGCAATTTACGTACAACTGCATCTACGTATGTACATACATATGTGCATTACGTAAAAAATGTCTGAAGAACACAGGAACTGCATTCATGAGCTTATGACGTATTTCATGCCAGTCAATCCGTGTCAGCTTTGTACAATAGCTCAAATGTCATGGCCGACAGCTGTACGTATGGATGTAAATATCGACATTTTCGCTTCCATATACCATGCAATATATATGTATGTATGTATGCACATTTTAGCATGCAAATGCGCTCTAAATAATCGTTGGTAATTTTGCATACGTCAACACGTCATGCTTCTTGCCAATGAACACAAAATCGATCGCTCTTTTCTGCTGTCACCGCTTTTTTCTTCTCTTGTTCTTCTTCCTATTTTTTATGTTTGCATCTTTGTCCTCGCCCAAGTTTAAGGTGGAAACAATGCAATGCTTTTTGTACATACTTATGCATATAATTCTGCTTGCGCAAGTACATATGTATGTATTTACCCTTGTGGTCAGCTAATAAAGTTAAGTGACATTTTTGGCTATTTTTCTTTTGTCTATTTAACGTTTTAATTTTTTTCTCTAAAAGTTTAGCACATTAAATAAGCAGCACCTCATAAATGCAAATTTCAAACTTCGTACACAATTTATTAAAATTAAACAAACTTTAACAATTACGCCAAAAAATTTTAAACTTTTTATTAAAAATTTTTTTCGAAAAATTTTAGGTATGCCGTTTTTAAGCCCATTTAATTTTAGTAGGTTAAAGTGCAAATTTCAAGACGCTAGAAAATCGCGTTGATTTTTAATAATTTTTTTTGCTGACGGTGTTGAACATTTTCTCCCATATAAAGTATGCTCGACAATGACTGCTGGTTATGCAATGTGCTAGACTTTTATTTAAAAAAAAAAGATAAACATTAAATAAACAAAAGAAAACTGGTCATAATGTCACTTAACTTAATCAACTGACCACAAGTGTACATACATACATACATACTTAAGCGTGCATTTACTTTTCATTCAAGTTCATTGCAACTTAAGTTCCTATTTTCATGCTTCTTCGTCGTAGAAAAATCGTACGAAAAAAATATCCCTATAAATAAAATAGGAATTTACTGGATTTCATTTTGTAATTGAATTTTAAGAGTGGGTGCAAATAGGATTATAGACATGTGTAAGCCAAATGCATTAGCATTCGCCTTTGCTCGATCATGTGAAGTATGACAAAATAGAAATACGATTAGTTTTTTGTGGTAAAGTTCCATATAGAATGAGCATTAGGGTGGTTCAAAATGTATTTAGACGATAATATGTATAAAGTATTTAGAGTTCGTTCAAAGCGCTCAAGGTTTTCCATGTATTTCATATGAAAAAAAACAACTTTTCGTAAAAATGATATAGAACTCTTAAAAATCAATATCTTTCGATCGGAAAACTCGCTTTCTCCCCAGAAGATTTCCAATAATAGTACCCAATTGTTTATTTAACCATTTTTTCATAGAAACTATATTTTATAAGTCCGCCAAAAACCCCCCAAAAACCCCGAAAAGTGCAATGGGGGACCAATAAAAAATCGTTAGTATCATGATAAAAATATAGCAAGGTAGAACCGTTCTCTCAATTTGTCGGCCATGACTTTTTTTTGAAGTTTGCCAACATTTTAAAATCATATAAAAGGGAAAATAAAAAAATGAAATTGTTCGAAATTGTTGTTGCTTGAGTTTGAAAATGAAAATGTGTGTGTGAGTTTGTGAGTAAATTTAAAAATTAAATTGTTTGGAAACGTCAAGAATTTGAAAAGTGACTCTCAGCGGTTCTACCTTACTATATTTTTATCATGGTTAGTATTAAAAAATTGTTAAATAAACACTTCGAGCTATGTATCTCTAAATATATTTTTATTTAAAATAAAAAATATGGGTAAATTTTTTTTTCGATATAGAACAAGCCTAGAAGGTGAGAGCATTAAAATCCCGACTTTACTTTTTTTCGGACCACCCTAATGAGCATACATTTGTT